TTAGCGAAACGTTGGGCCGTAAGTGAAATAACGTCGTTTTATTTACACTAAAAGAACAGATCAGACAAGCCTATCACAAACTAAAAGATTTTCACAAAATACAAACTGATCGGATATACATAAATAAATAAAAGCTTGTTTTTAAAAAATATTTTTTTTACATTATTTTATTTTCTAATTTTTAGTCCGATTTATAAAAGCGTTGTATATTAAATAGTTTATTTTATTTTATGTTAAAAATTTTGCATGATATTAAAATAATTCAACTTGCAATGAAAGAGAACAGAAGACTATGCAAGCAAAATGTTGTTTGCTTACGTTTTGTATAAACATACATATGAATACATATATACAGCAGTTAATTTCATTTAAAGAAATGGCGTGTCGTCCATTCCGCTGTAGCATGGCATATGATTTAGGCGCAATATTAAAGTTCTTCTGGCGGGAAGGACTATCTGGAGTCTTCTAATTCTGGAGTCAATCAAGCGTTGATATAGATGTTCCATAAATAGCTTTGCTACACTATCGCCGGCAGGTTTAACCATTTTATAGTGAAAGGAGTTATTCAAACTCTAATGAAAATTACTAACAATTTGTACTAATTTACTTCGTTTTTAAAAAAGCTTGTCGCGCGAATAGCAAACCGGCTGCATACATACATATACATACATACCTAACCAATTATGCATGTATGCTGAATTCGCCGACAAGCTTTTTTAAAAACGAAGTAAATTAGTACAAATTGTTAGTAATTTTCATTAGAGTTTGAATAACTCCTTTCACTAAATGGCTTTTAGTAACTTTAACGAGACCTTAACTTATTTTATTTTATTCATTTTAGTGCAGTTTTGACAAAACTTTCTTGCTAAAAAATCTTTTGTTACACTACTTCATGCTATTCCTTTAATTGTACAGGTTAAATAAAAGCTTGTTTTTAAAAAATATTTTTTTTACATTATTTTATTTAAATATATACTGGCTATGTAAGTAGAATCATGTTTGCGTAAAATGGTCTTCCTAGGTGGCGCCAAGGTATTTATGGTCCGAATTTGGCGTATGTAGTTGAAACATAATAAGTCATAGATTTCCAACAAATTCACCCTGAAGTGGCGCTGAAGTCAAAATATAAAGTATATTCTACATAAAATACATGTTTTATTTGCGTTAAAAATTCATTTAAAAGCAATATTAACAAAAATATAACGATGGAAATTTATGTCACGTGACGCTACGTCACGTGACGTTTCACACTTGGTGTTGTAAAAGAAAATTGAAACAAGTTGCATTGATTCAAAAAACTCTAAAAACAACTAGAATTGCTCCAAATCATATTAAAATAAGTTTCATGAAAATAGCCATCCACAATTCGCAGAGTTTTGCGATTTTGTAAGAAAAGAAAAAATCTACTTCCATTTTTTGTCACGTAACGACACTCTCTTTAAATGCTTATATTTCAGGACCAAGCAGTTCGATTGTTTTCATTTTTCGGTTAAATATAGAGCTAATTATGTGCTATACAATGGCCCAGAAAAGTTAAAGAAAGCAAATGGTATTCCTTTTTTGTATCACATTGAAACGTACGACTGTCACGTATGCGACGTATGGAAATACCCATATATATATTCCTAAATTTAGTTGTTCCTCTCGGAATATAATCTGTGGTTCTGCTTGATCTGTGGCAGCGTTTACGTTAAAGTCATGAATACATGCACATACCATCTTTTGTTTGCAAAATGTGGAGCTAAATTCATTTGATCGGCATTTCCTCTTACTCTCGTCTTCTCTTTGTGCAGTCTTGTATTATCTCTGATCCAGTACTCAATGAACTTACAGGTATTTACACGAACTTGCAGTTATCAACGGTCCAAGTTAAAATGATTTCAGTATTTTTTAAAATTTTTCGCCCTGCTTTTTTATTAATAGACTACTAAACCTATGCCTAAAACCATCTACGAATATCAAAACCAGTTGCAACAAATGAGTTAATACATATGTATGTATACATATAGGTACGCATGGCCGGAATTTGCATACTCAGAAGTAATAATCAATTGTACCGTATTTCCTCTTACTCTGCATATGCCTAAATGTATGCAACCATTTGCAATAGCACAGGGCGTTTCTAATGAAATTAAAAATTTGATGCTGCAATAGACATGCTTAGCCCTTCGAAATTTTCTGCTGGGCCATGCGTTACAGCTTCGAAAATTTTTTACCGAAACCAAAGATGTATGCACATCAAAAATTTTACACTTCTCTTATAAGATACTGATAGTTTTTTTTTGTTCGTAGGAGAAAGAAATGCTTTATGCACTGGCCGGGGGCGCTAGTCTCTATACTACCTTCCCCGAGTGTGGGACTCCCACCGAAGCGTGTTGGGCTACCCACTAAAACACAAACTCCCACCGCCCGCGAAAGAATCCCGCATCTGGCACCGCAATTCTGCATGTCTTCAGATGCAGGAGCGCGCTGCTAGAGCCTCGGGCTGCTCTTTTGCAGGGGCGTTTCATTCGGGTGTCCTCGGTAGTCATCCGCCCTCTCGTTTGCAGCGGAGTACGAATTGTACGTATCTCGCAACTGTTTCTCACTTGTCTGCACTGGAGGTCATTAGCCAAATTATGTTGTTCGGAGTTATGTTTCCGTATCATTCTCCCAACATTCTGCACGAAGTCAAGAAGTGTTCGCAGGTGAAGAATGTATGGCACACGTTATCTTCGACGTTTCCACAGTAGTGACAAAACGATGAGTCCACCCTTCCCATTCTATGAAGATATTTTCGGAAGTAACCATGACCGGTGAGGAATTGCGTCGGGTAGAAATCGACTTCCCCATGCGGTCTGTTCAACCATGTTTAAAGGTCGGCTATCAGGGTGTGCGTCCATCGACCTTTTGTGCTCGCGTTCTAGTTTTGTTGCCACTGCTGGATTAGTTGCTCGCGCGCCCTTGCCGCGGCAGCTGCTGGACCTATCGAGGCACTGAGATTGGAAATCTCTTTTCGCTCGTAAGCAAGTAGCTCAATTGGCATGACGCCAATTACGTACCGTACGGTATGCAGAAGCAATGCGTAGTGCCCCTCTGCGCTGGACCGAAGACATTTAAATCCGGTATTTTTTTACTTTCAATGCGGCGGTCCATATTTCTGCCCCGTACAGGAGCACAGACTGGACTGCTGTCATCAGAAGCTTCCTGTGGCATGGCTTCTGGCCGCCACGCCGCCGGTTTATAGCCACCGTGATCTGGCCAGCTTTTTCACATACTCCATGGGTGTGTTCCCAGAATGTGAGTTTGCTGTCAAGCTTCACCCCTAGGTATTTTGTTGACCTAAAAGTTGTCCCGAGTTGAGGTCCAACCATCATGTTTATAATTGTTGGGATCCGTTTCCTGGTGAGGAGCACGATCTCTGTTTTGGCTGTAGCCAATTGCAGACCGTGATCGCTCATCCATCCTGACGTTGCGCATGGCCTGGTTTAGCTTGAGCTGTGCTAGCTGGACGTTTCTTGCTGTTATGACGGCGGCCACGTCGTCCGCGAACGCGACAAGGAAGGCGCTCTCCGGCATTTCCGTGCGCAACAGACTGTCATATGTGGCGTTCCTGAGGTCCGGGCCAAGTACAGACCCCTGTGCCCCTCCGCCAGTTATACAGTAAAACCCGCTTAAGCCCCCCCCCCCCCCCCCCNAAGTACCACCCCGCTTATTTACCCAACCCGCCTAAGTACCTGAATTTTTCGTACCCCAATTACCATTTTACTTGTAGTTTTCCCCTTTTAAGTGCTCTTTTAAGATTCCTTAAAATATTTACATATTCTGAAATTCAATGGCCGCGGTACACACCTTCGGCAAAAAAAAATTAAAAAAAAATCACCGATAATTTTTAGCCAGTTGAAACTTGCACATTATTACAATAAAATTTAATGGGCAATAAAAATTAGAAAAAGTTTGAAATTTTGATGCATTTTTTTTAAGTGTTCTTAAAAATCTTAAGCTTAGGTTTATATGGTATTTGTTAGGGAATTAACTGTATTTTAATTTTTTAAAATCTTAAAAACTAATAAGTAAACAGAAGTGGCAAACAATATTATTCTGAATTTGGTCCAAATTATATGTCCAACACTGTTTGTATGTATGTATAAATATCAGAGCTGTGTAAGGCACTCCGCATATTAAGCTCCTAATCATAGTAGTGTAATCGTTTCGGCATACTAAAGTATAAAGCTTTTATGCCGAACCCATGTATTTCAATGAAGCTCTGTACATGACGATTCAAAATCCCAACATTGTAAGGCGCTTGGAGTTTTGAAATCGTCATTTGTTTACTTTCTTGTGTTGGAAATAAAATTTCTTTGTCAATTCAATAGACAATAATTGAAAATGAATGATGTCGTGCTAAAATTCGGCAGATTTTTGACAATTGCTCAATTGTAAAAATTCGAAGCGGTGTTACCCAATTTAAGTTTTTTGGTAAAGGGGATTTTATATCATAAATTTGGGATTATATATATATATAACATTACATTTGTATACATTTGTACATACATATATGTATTAACATTTACCTTTTAAAAATACAGTGAAACCCGCTTATGTACCCCCCGCTTAAGTACCTAACCCGCTTAAGTAACTAACATTTTTGGACACCCTGAATTTTTTAATATAATCAGAAGAAAGTCCCTCTCTTAAATACCTGCCCGCTTATTTACCCAACCCGCCTAAGTACCCCAATTTTTCGTGCCCCATTTACAATTTTACTTATATTTTTCCCCTTTTAAGTGCTCTTATTCAAATTCAGTAGCAGCACTACACACCTTCGGTAAAAACATTCTAAAAAGTCAACGGTAACTTTTAGCCACTTGAAGCTTGCACATTATTACACTAAAATTGAATGGGCTATAAAACTGTATACTCAAAAAACACTTCTCAAAAAAAAAGTTTGAAATTATGATGATTTTTTTTAAGTGTTCTACAAAATCTTAAGCTTAGGTTTATATGGTATTTGTTAGGGAATGAACTCCATTTTAATTGATTGAAAAACCTTTAAAATTAATAAATGAACATAAGTGGCAAACAATAACTTTAACTTTTTAAACAATTTAATTCTTGTAAAAATGATTACCATTGCACTAAATATTTTTTTAATAAAGTTTTTCTTTACTTGTTTATGTGTTTAAATAATGCTACGATTTTGATTTTAAACTATGTATACTTCATTAAATGTTGTTATTCAAGAATTTATGTAAGTTAACAAGAAGATGTAACTACATCAGTAACTATGTTCGCTTAAGTACCCGCATCGAGGTACTTAAGCGGGTTCTTTTAAGTACCCAACCCGCCTAAGTACCTCAAAAAGCTGAAATTTTTCGTGAGGTACTTAAGCGGGTTTTACTGTAGTTCATATCTTATCTAAAAATGTGTAAATTTTACATTAAATTCGATAACCACTTCACAATTACATTTAGGTTAATAAAATTTTAGTGAACATATTTTAAAAATATTTAGTGTCTTTACGCCATCTGATTAATTCACAATGTAACTAGCCAGGACTACTACAGTTTTCTATATTGGGTGCGATTGTTTCTGGTATAATTCGAACACTGAAATTACAAATTTTGATGTGTAATTTAATGCAAATTTAGGCGATTCACAATTCGTGTTTGACGTCGTAATATCTTAAAGACTTAAAATTTTTCAATATAAAGTAACGGTTAAAAGCGATTTGAAAGATTCGTTGGGTATAATAA